AGAGTAGAGGATACAATATGAAAAAAGGAGAAAAGAATTTATTAGTTTGCACAGTAGCTTAGAAAATCGTTTAGCTTCTTTAGAAAAAATAATACTTCAAAAAGGAAAATGAGTAGAAGGACAAACTAATAGACCTCAATCTCAGGTAAACGAAGAAAATATAGCCAGATATTTTGAAAAGCTTAAATTACCAAGAAAATCCACCTATAGAATTTACAGAAAATAAAAATGTTTAAACAGCTAATAAAAGGAAGTAGCAGTAAAAAGCGTAATGAAGATGAAGATATTAAAATGGAAGAATTTATAGATGTAGAACAACAAATGGAAAAATTTAAGAAAGAGAAATTAGAATTAATTCCAGCTAAACATATATATAAGCTAGGTAAGATTCATAAAAACAATATCTATTTAAACATTATGGTGAGCAGATGATTAGTGTAACCCAGGAAGATGAAAAAATAGAGCTAAATTTGATAGATAGAGAAAGCTATAAATATGCAGTAAAAGAACACCTTAAAATGACTCATTTAGGATTAGTTGTGGTAGGAATTAAAGCTTTAACCAGAGAAAATTTAGGAACTAAAGTCTTTGTATGTCTTTATGATGATAAGTTTAATGATGTAGAACAGAGTATTTTAGGCAGCTATGAATTAGGTATGAATTCAAAAGGAGATATTGTTTATTTTACACCAGATTTCGTACTACCAACCTCGACCTTTCATAAAAAGATAAAAATAAGAATAAAGAGTAGAGGATACAATATGAAAAAAGGAGAAAAGAATTTATTAGTTTGCACAGAATTTTTAGGCTTAGCGGTTTCAGAAAGTAATACCCACTATAGACTTACAAATGATCAGACAGTTAAGTTATTAGGCGCAAAAGGAATAAAGGCATTACCAGCTAAAAATTTTAATTCTGAAGATAATGCAGCACTAGATTGGAAATTATGAGACTTTCTAGGACAAAAAAGATTAGTCCCATAAGATAATTTATTATATCAAATAACAGATGAAAATTATGCAGTAAGATTTACCCAGTATACCTATGTAGCACCAGAAAAGTCTGAAGATGATGAATTTAACAGTACAGATAGGGAAGAAAATCAAGATAATCGTAGTGAAATAAATCAGCTTTATGTAATGACAGAAGAAAAAACTATGTCACAAAATAAGATATATAATATTGATGAGATAGATTTAGAAAAATTTACCCTAAAAGACATGAATAAAATATTAGATGCTAGATATTATGAATACTTAGCCAGAGGAGATACCCATGACGAAGCAGTGTCATTTTTGGATCAGGAATTTCATACAGAATATGTAGATGATATCATAGAAGATAATATACATCCTAGCAAAATATTTAGAATACCAGAACAATCTAACCTAGAAGATACTTTTTATATGAATGCAGAAAGCTCAGGAACCAATAACCCCCAACCAACCGTAGAAGATCCCATAGAACCAATACATTATGCAGTAGGAGGAAGAAGACCATTAGCCAATTCAGGACGTAGTCACGCAGATCCAAATAAAAGCTATAAGTTTCATGGAAAGTGTAGACAACTAGATATGAGTGTACAATTACAGCCAGTCAATAATCAAGGAACCCTTTTAGATTTAGCCAGATTCGACTCGCAGATATGGCAAGAAGTAACAGAAAGATGGGAAAAAGATGCAGTAAAAGCATGAATGACCAGTCCCTATGAATCAACGGATATGTGGGAATATATGGAGACACTTTTAGGAGATTCAGCTTATAATATTTATTTAACTTTTAAAGGAAAATATGAAGAAACAATTAAACAGCTCAAAGAGTTAGGTAATAACCCGTGGAATTTTACCAATTTTATTAAAGAAACACTTATAGGTTATGATCCTTCTAGAGGAAATGATTTCGCTCAAAGCGTAGCATTAACTGAGCTAGACCAAATAACGTTAGGAAGTTGGAAATATATTGTACCTTTTAGTAAAGAATACTTAGCCATAGCAGTAAGAACTGGAAAAATTTTTGATGAAGAAATAGGAAATAAATATTTTAGAAAATTACCTGGAGAACTAGGAAGAGAAATAGAAAATAAATGGTCAGTTTATTATGCAAGTTTACCAGCAAAAATAGCCACAGGAGAAATAAAAATAAGAGGCACTTTAGGAATAGAACCTAGAATAGTTTTTACATTTTATAAACTCAGACAAAAATGTATAGAAGTTAAAATACAGAAAGATTTGAAAAAACAAAGTTACGGTTTTTGTAGCAGTGTAATATATACTCCTTAGCAATATGAAGATAAATATAATAAGAAAAAATACAAAAAAAATGAAAAATATAGAAAAGAAAAATATTGGAAGAAAAAATATAGAAAACCATGGAAAAAACAAAAATTCATTAGAAAAAGTAGAACTTTTAATAGGACAAATTATAAGAGATTACCCAAAGAAGAAAAAGATAAAAGAAAACAAAAATATGTTAGAAAACCCAGCAGTAAAAAGTGCAATTGTTTTATATGTGGAGAACCCAATCATTTTGTAAAAAACTGCCCAAAACGACAAAGGCCTAATACTAATAAACAGATAGAAAGACTTCACATTATAGAAGATTTATAAGAAGATATAGTTAGCATAAATAACGATGATTCAGAAGTCTATAGCATAGTTAGTGATTATGAATATCAAATAGAAGCCATAAGTTCAGACAGTAATTCAGAAAGTGATACAGATATAGATAATCTTTTAGGACAACTCAATCAGGAAATAGGACTAACTCCTTCCCAAGATACTTTCTTTATGATGGAATGTAATGCAGATATTGTATGTCAGCATAATTTTCAAATAGGACTAGGATTTGATACCACTAGATGTAGCTATTGTAATTGGTTTCCAGCCAAAGATAAGAGAACTCAATGTTTATTATGCAGCATAACCTATTGTATAGTCTGTCTTGAAAAATTAAACATGACATATAAGATAACATTAGGAAATACCAGAAAAGATCATAGTCTAGAAAGTAGAGAATTACATTTAACAATTAGAGATTTACAATTACAAGTAAGGGAACTCAAGTTACAAATACACGAGATAGAAACTAAGACTAGTTTTGACATAGAATATTTAGAATTAGAAAATAGACAACTTAAACAGCAGCTAGAACAATTTCACAATAAGTACCCTTTAAAAGATAATCTGATTGAAGAACATATGAATTCTTTAGAATTAGTCAACCTAGTTGATTCTCAACCCTTTAGTCAATATTCTCAAACACAACCAGATAATATATACTTACCATTTAATTACTCGGTTATATCCAAACCAAATTTAGTTGAGATCTCTCATTATGTTTGGAATGTCATGATCTTGGTTTGAATGCTAAAAAATATATATATGATAAACAAATTTAGAAGAAATTACAAATAAAACACTAGAGTTTGATATTTTGTAATTGTGTTTTTAATTTTGTCAAGTCAAGTCAAATTCTAATATTTTTATTTTTATTTTTAAAATTATTAGCCTATTTCCTTTAAGTAATGTATGTCTACATTAAATGTCTAAAATGTCATTTTTCGTGTAGTTTAACCACTTTTTTTTCCCCCTTCAGTTTTACTTAATGGAAATAAGTAGATAATTTAGACAGAAAATAAATAAAAAAAATTATAATTTAAATTGATAAAATTAAGAATCATGATTTATTTTGTTACAATGGTTAAATCTTTCCCCTTTTTTTTTGTAATTTTTTCAAAAATTTAATAAATACATTGTTTATTTGATAAAAAGAATAATATAAATAAATTACAAATACACCATGAAGTATATTAAAAATACAGATTATCCCCTCATATTTGAGAAATTACATTCCACCCCAAGTTTCCAATCACATAACAAGTAATTTTTTTCGTTAATCAACCGTTAAGTTAAATTAACAGTTTATGACATAGGCAATAATTTTTTTTATTATAAAAATACCTATATTAACTTTCATTGAATTAAACATTTTATTTTGTTTCATTTTGTTTTTATTCTATTTTACTTTGCTTATTCTTTATTTTCTCTCAACTAGTAACACTGTTTTGCCCAATTACCGCACTACCCTCTCCACCGTTAATATTGTCTACTAGCATTTAGACTCCCACCTTAATTTCAGCTATACCCTCTCCCTAACCCACTCTCATAGCCCAACCCTTGCCATTCTCTTCCTAATTTCCTTCATCTACAAGTCCAGCAGTTGTCATCGTCGCCGGCCAGCTCCTCCTCTCCCTCTCTCTCTCTCTCTTCCTCTCGATCTTCCTGTTCGTCAACCCCTCACCCATCCATTCTCCACATAAGCCCTTCTTTCATTACTCCAACCCTTCTCTTCCATACATCTGCCTTCTTCTGAATCCATTCTATCCAACCATCTGCGACGAAGAGAAAGATCACAAAAAGAGAGAGAGACATGTTAGTGTTGTAGAGAGAAAGAAAGACCTAGTTATAGCGATCCCGGGTTTACCCTTGTTGTACAGTGATCCGGACATGTGTCCGTGGATGTTGGTAGTTGTTTATTATTTTGTTTACATCCTTTTACTTCGTATTTGAGTTATAGGATGTGTTGGGCGGATTTGTTTCAGGTTGGTTGAGTTTAGAAACCAAAACTAGTTGCCCATCTCGATCTTCCTGTTCGTCAACCCCTCACCCATCCATTCTCCACATAAGCCCTTCTTCCACTACTCCAACCCTTCTCTTCCATACATCTGCCTTCTTCTGAATCCATTCTATCCAACCATCAGCGACGAAGAGAAAGATCACAAAAAGAGAGAGAGACATGTTAGTGTTGTAGAGAGAAAGAAAGACCTAGTAGTGTTGTGTTGGTTGTAATCTGGTCGTGGTGATGGCAGCGATGTTCCTCCCTCCTCCTCTTCCTTCTTCTTTTTCTTCTAGGAGGTTAGGGTTTCTCAAACCCTAAATCTAGATCATTTTTGTTTTTGCAGGAGGGAACTCTGAAGGTCATTGCTTATCATGAGTGAAGCAATGGTTCTCGTAGTAGCTGGTGAAGACCTCTTATCTTCTCTCCTTTATGATAATGGCTATGGAGGTGGCGGTGTGAAAGGGGTGGTCGCGGTGGTGAGAGGGTGGTCGCCGGTAGAAAAGCACAGGGATGGTGGCCGGAGGTGGGGACGACCGGAGGAGGCTGTCAGGCGGAGTGGAGTGGAGGTGGCGTAAGAGATGGAGTTGGGGTTGGGGTTAGGGTTAGGGTTAGGGTTAGGGTTAGGGTTGGAAGGATAGAGATGGGGTTAAAAATAGAAATTGATGCTAAGGTAAAATTGTAATAATAAAAATAAATAAATAGAAAAAGTGGGGGTCCAAAAAAAAAAAAGGTAACGGCATTTAGCAGCCTTCTAAATAAATTAAATTGGCCATATAATTTTAATAATATAATTACACTCACAATCATTTAAATAAGATCAAATCAATCAAATTTAATAGGGTAAATAACACATCCCCAGAAGTTTTCGACAAATACATAGACCTTCCATATAGCGATCCCGGGTTTACCCTTGTTGTACAGTGATCCGGACATGTGTCCGTGGATGTTGGTAGTTGTTTATTATCTTGTTTGCATCCTAATAGAAAATACTGATGTCATCAAAGACAAATACTATTGTGTTTGGTGTGATTTTCAAATTAAGTTTCAACCCTTATATTTGAATGCTATGTTTGGTTTGAGTTTTGAAATTATGATTTCAAATCAATTTCAAAACACATTTTGAAAACATGTTTGGTAAACCAGACGATTTTTGAATTTTTGATCTACCTAGTTGTCTGCCTAAACATCGTCCTGGATGTCCGGCTGATCGTCCAGCCGGTTAACCGAAACAGTACAAAAAAATTTTTTTCAATTGCCAATCACCACCTATTATTTGGAAAAAAAAAATTATATTTATTTTTGATATTTTTTAAATATACAAATTATTTTTTTAGACCAAAATGACAAATTATTTTTTTGAATTGAACTTTAAAAAGAGTTTGGTTATGAGTTTTAAATAGAATTTTCAATAAAATTTTGAGTTGTGTGTTTGGTTATGAGTTATAAGTTTTTGAATTAATTTTTGAAAACTCTTTTAAAAACTCATAATCAAACAACTTTTCTTATTTTATTAGTCACATTAAAAATTCAAAACTCTTTTTAAAACTCATAACCAAACAAATTTTCTCTTTTCAAATCATAATTTCAAAACTCACAAACTCAAAATACAACTTTATTCTCAAATTATAATTTTAAAACTCTACCAAATACTACTTAAAATATCCATAATACTCTCAAGTGTTTTGAAACCATCTACATATATTGACGTTTTTTCATACAATATTTTTCAAACATAATGGAGTTTAAAGACTTTTTGCTTTTTTTGGGATCAATGTCTGGAATGTCATAAGCAAGGATTTTGCATATCAATCTTTGATTGAATGCTAAAAAAATATAAATTTTATAAAAAAAAAAATAGAAGAAATTACAAATAAAACTTTAGATTTGATACTTGTAATTGTGTTTTTAATTTTGTCAATTTAAATTTTAATAATTTTATTTTTTTAATCTAAATTATTAAGGAAAATTACCAGAAAATCCTATTTCAGATTCTTTTATACCAATCAGTCCATGTTTTTTATTTTTATTTTATTAAATCCTAAAGTTTACACTTTTAGACCCAGAGGTCCTGTTTTCAGTTTTATTATATTTGTTTGACCATTTTAGCCTTATATATATAGCTGCTTGTTTGAATATGATATTTGGGAAGTCAGCGATCTGCGTTTGGATTCCAGATTCTTTGCAATTTATGATTTCTTGTGGAGGGTAAGGAAGAAATTGATACAATCTGGAGATTTTGCCACCATAAGGAGAAGATATTATTGTCAGCCCCTTGGGCAAATGGTATTACGCATGCGGGACAATGACTTGTTGGAGGTGCACAAGAATTTTGTGATGTTTTATATAAGCATGCCATCCAATATGGGTTTCAGTTTACGTATGTCAAGAACGAGACAACAAGGGTTACTGTGGTGTGTGCGATGCGCAAGGAGAGAGGCTGCTTGTGGGCTATACATTGTAGAGCACAACGAGCAAATGGTTTTTTTTCTACATCAAGAGGTTCAGTGATGTGCATAGTTATGGTAGGAATGTCCGAACATCGAAGAATCCGAGAATTAGTTCTGATTTGGCATTGAGTACTATATCTGAAATTATGAGGGACAAGCCGTTGACTCAGCAGTATGAGGTGGTGACTATTTTGAAGAGGGATTATGGGCTAGATGTGAGTTACCACATGGTATGGTTGGGTGTGGAGAAAGCAAAGGTTGTTATTCATGAAGATCACTCATTATCGTTTCACCAGTTGCGGTGGTATTCGGATATTGTGATGGGTTACAATCCGAGGAGTTATGTCAATATTGACTATAATGCGAGTAGTCAACAGTTTTGTCGTTTCTTTGTATCATTTGTTGCGTGTATTTCTGGGTACAATTCTTGTTGGCCTTTATTATTCCTAGATGGAACATTCCTCAAAGGAAAGTACAAAGGTCAATTATTTGCGGCAACGACGAAAGATAGAAACAATGGTTAGTATTTTTTTAGCTGTCTATTCATGTAAACATTCACATTGAGCGGCATAGTGTAGACACATGACAGACCATTACACAGTGTAAACATTCACATGACCTGTTTCCTTTATAGTGTTTTGGTAAACTACTTATGTTACTATTCACAATGAAATATTGTGAACAGTTGTTTAATGGTGTTGTGTTGTAGGTAATAGTGTAAAAATAGTCCGTGGCCCGTGGACAGCCCGAGGTGGGTCCGGCCTATTTAGGCCCGGGCCTAAGCCCAGCTCGAGGCCTTGGGCCTGGGCTTGGACCATCATTGTGAAGCCCGACCATGCCCACTTGGTCAGGCCCGTAGCCAGGTATATCGGTCCGCTCAAGGCCCGACAAAAGCCCGGCCTGGCTCGCCCAAGGCTCAGTGTTATTTTTAATGAAAAATAATAAAATTTTGGTAGGAAAAATTAAAAAAATTGTTTAGGCCCACCCAAAGCCCGAGCTTAGGCCCAGGCCTAACAGCCCAGCCCGAGGCCAGGACCACTGGCCTGCCTAAAGCCTGAATACCCTTGGGCTTGGGCTTGGGCCTAGTTTTTTTGGCCCGTGGGCCAGCCTGGCCAGGCCAGATTTTTTACAGGAGCCCACAAGGCCCAACATGAACGCAGCCCGGCTCGAGACCGGATGGGCCGGACCGGGCCAAAATTACACCCCTAGTTGTTGGTCTATTCCCTGTTGTATTTGCGATTGTTGATTCAGAGACCACGACCAATTGGTCGTGGTTCTTGCACGAACTTGGAAAAGTTGTTAATGGTAAGCGTCAAATTACTTTTATTTCGGACCGCAATCTTGGTCTGTTAGAAACAATGCCGAAGATGTTCCCATCAGCTCACCACGGTCATTGCTTACAACACTTGAAGAACAATCTAAGAGACTGGATGAAAAGAATTGATAATGGATTTAGGGACCACCTCGTTAGTAGTTTGGGTGATTGTGCTTACGAGCCAATTGTGGTAGGGTTCCATGAAAAGCTTGAGAAATTAAAAGAGGAGGGTAAGTAATGAGCACATAGTTTTTTTCAGGAGTTGGCACTTGAGAACTGGGCGAATTCATACTTTAGGTAATAGTAGTTTCATGACGTATTCCATTTGTTAAGTTTAGAATGGTAGCGATGTGAAATTTCAGTTATATTTTGTGAAGATGTGAAATTTCATATTCAGTTTCGAATAAATTTAATTCAATATTGTACAATGTTTGTGATGTTGTGCAGGGGCATGCATTATGGGGAGATGACATCCAATGCGGCGGAGTCATTTAATAATTGGATTAAAGAAGCACGCAATCTTCCTATCACTCAGATGGTGGACACAATTCATACTCAATTGATGCGGCAAATGTTTGCGCGGCGTGACCAAGCAAACAAGTGAAATGAGCTTATTTGTCCTACATTCGAAACAATGCTTCTTGATTCGTTCAATGACAGCAGGTCTTGGCAAGTGAGCAAATTCAATGAGGATGTGTTTAAGGTTCATTTAATGCCATCTGTTACAGTTGATACTACAAGGCATACGTGTTCTTGCTTCAAATGGCAAATCAACGGATTTCCATGTGACTATACTGTTATTGTTATTCAGAAGAGTCGCTACAATCTCAATGATTGTATAGAACATTACTTTCATGTAGAGACGTATCGTGCAGCCTATTCGGGTGCTATATTCCCTATACCGTCGGTGGAAAAGCCGTCTTTTGATTCCACGGACTTCACTATATACCCACCAACTGTGAAAAGACCACCCGATAGGCCGAAAAAGAATAGAATCCCGTCAAAGGATGAGAAACTGAAGCAAATAAGGTGCGGAAGATATGATAATTGGGAAGCCATAATCAAAAATCATGCAAGGAGCCGATATATGATGTACATTTTTTCATTTCAACATTGTGTTTTACATGGGATTCTTTTATTGATTTTTGAAATAAGATTGTGTTATGTTGGCAAATATTGTGTTGCAATAAGATTATGTTGTGTTGAAAAACATAATAATGCATTGGCCAACCTAATAATGCATTAGTATTTGATTTGTGTTTTTTTTTTTTTTTTTTTTGGGTAGCAAACTAACATTTTTGTTATTGTGTTAAGGATAAATACATGATGTGAACATTCACACTTGTGTAAGATAATCACATTATGTGAATACTTGCACATGGGTTGAACTTTTTAACATTATTGTGGTGTGAATATTTACATTATTGTTACCATTGACAGCATCAAAGTAGATGACATGAATATTTACATCACTTTAACCATTCACATCATCAAATCAGAAGATGTGAATATTTAGATATGTATTATGAAATGTAATTGTGAGTGTTTTTTGTTAGCAAAAATAAGATGTTCTTGTGTATATTATGATGCATGCATGTGCGTGGTGTGAATATTGACATCGTTGCTGCCATTTACATCACCAAAAGTCACGATGTGAATACTCACATCATCAAATTATTTGCTATAAATATTGACTTATGTGTTAAGAGATATCATATTTACACTTGTCATATTGTGTTACAATAGCACTTAAAGCAATATTCACATCCATGTAGTAGGAGAGAGATTGCCACAGCTCCGGTGTTGATTATTCCGGAGAGAGGTTGGGTTATGCGGTTTATTGTGATGCCTCACGACGAGGTGTAGGTTGTGTGTTGAATGCAATGAGGGAAAGTGGTAGCTTATGGGCTCACGTCAGTTGGAAAATACACGAGAAGAATTACCCACACATTGACCTAGAGTTCAGCTGTGATCTTATGCGTGAAATCTGGAGGCACTACCTTTATTGGTATGGGGTTCGGGTATTCTCGGATCATACGAGTTTGAAAGTATCTGTTACGATCAAGAGACTTTGAATTTAGGCAGAGGAGATGGATGGGATTTCATCGAGGATATGATTTTGGTTGCATTATCACCGGACAGGCCAATGTCTGTGGCCGATGCCCTTATTAGCAAAACCATTTAGTGATGTATGTCTTGTATAAGCACAATCCGGGATTCGGGAGTGTTGGGAACACTTGGCGAGTTTGATTTGCCTACTAGGACGAATCCCGTTGAGGCTGCGGCCTTGTTTCTGTTGTTGCGCAGCCTACCACTTGTGATTAGAGTGTTAGAGGCCACAGAGAGGTGACCTTGAGGTAGAATCCCCCGAGAAGATCTCCAGTAGGGAAGTTGAGAAAGGTTTGACGGTGTAATCCCGACCTGGTGTGAGATACCGAGGAACCGTGTTTGTAACCGGAGTCTTTGCCAGAGGAAAGCTACTCCGAGAGTTTCATCATTCGCGCTTGCGGTCGCATCCGGGAGTACTAAGGATTACAGATTTGGTCGCCAGTTTGTGCGGGGTATGAAAGAGTGTTGGCTGTCTTCGTATCGAAATGCCTACTTGCCAGCAGTGAAGGCCAGCGCATCAGAGGCCAGCGGGTTTGTTGTAACCCTTGCCTATTGCCGAGTGGAAGTGGAGCATGTCACTATGACTTCTGTGTAGGTCTTCGAGGACTCAGCGTGGGTAGTGAATGCTATTGGGTGTTGTAGGACAGGTTGACTAAAACGTCGCGCGCACTTTATCCTATGCGGTGAGAGAAATTCGGTAGATCATCTTGCCGACTTTGTATATCGGGACGTAAGTGAGATTGCCGGGTTCCCAGTGCACGATCGTCTCAGATGAGATCCTCGTTTTACTTCGCCAGGTTGGTCGGCAGTTTGCAGAGTGCCTTGGGCACTAAGTTAACCTTTAGTAGGCCTATCAATCCTCAAGACTGACGGAGTCCGAGCGTACTATCAGATCCTCGAGGAGTGCTTCGGGTTGGTCTGGATATCAGTGGGACGTGGAGAAGGCACTTGCCCTTGGTAGAGTTTGCCTACAACAACAGTTTCAGTCTAGCATCGGTATGGCACCGTTTGAGGCCTTGTATGGCCGATCGTTAGGTCTCCAGTGTGTTGGGCCGAGGTGGGTGATGCACCTTTGTTGGGTCCGGAGTTGGTTAGGGAGACGACGAGAAAAGTTGAGCTTATTCCGTAGAGGCTTGTTACAGCCCAGAGTCGACAAAAGAGTTATGCCGATCGTAGAAGGACGCTTTGGCGTTTGAGGTAGGTGATCAATGTTTTTCTGAAGATATCACCTAGGCGAGGTCTGATGAGGTTGGGAAGAGTGGGAAGTTGTCCCCTCGGTTTATTGGTCCTTTTGAGATCCTTGAGAGAATAGGTGAGGTTGCTTATCGGTTAGCCTTACCGCCGCAGTTCCCGAGTGCATGATGTGTTTCATGTGAGTATGCTCGGAAGTATGAACCAGATCCTCACATGTGTTGGATTGGACTAATTTTAGAGGTAGATGAGGATGCCTCGTATGAGAGAGACCGGTTCGGGTCTTGGATAGGCGGGATCAGGTCCTGCGTGGCAAGACCATTCTTTGGTGAAAGTCTTGTGGAAACATCACGGAGTGGAGGAAGCCACTTGGGACGTAGTTGGAAGTCTGTGAGAAATATCCGGACTTGTTTGTTGATATTAATCTTGTATTTAAATTTTACATTTTGTTGAACTTAAGAGCTTTTATATATGTCTTAAGTTGTGAAACATTGAAAATGTTTTGGTTATTGGAAGTAGTTTTGGAACTTGCCTCATACGGAAGTTGAATGTGATACTATATGTGTGTGAATATATTGTTGAAATTGGAAAGATAGTGCATAATGTTGATGCATGTTGATAATACATATGTGGTTTACATATTGTGATATGTCTCTTGTTAAAGGGATGTGATGACCGGTAATGGGTCGAATTGTTGAATTTCAAGTAGTAACATTGATTAAAAGGGAAAAAACTTGTTTTGAAAACTTGTGCTTAATTTCGGGGACGAAATTCTTTAAGGGGGGGAGGTTATAGCGATCCCGGGTTTACCCTTGTTGTACAGTGATCCGACATGTGTCCGTGGATGTTGGTATTGTTTATTTTCTAGTTTACATCCTTTTACTTCGTATTTGAGTTATAGGATGTGTTGGGCGGATTTGTTTTAGGTTGGTTGTGTTTAGAACCAAAAACTAGTTGCCCAGATTTTTGGCCTGTACGCTCGAGTGGAGGTGTTGGCGCTCGAGCGTAGATTACATCCATCCAGTATCTTGTTGTGCAGTGTTGTGAGCTCGAGCGTAGGGATTGGGAGCTCGAGCGGAGGCCTGATTCTGCAAAAGTGCTGGGCGAGTGCATTCTGCGCTCGAGCGGGAGGTGGCCGCTCGAGCGGAAGTCTGTGAGTGGCCGCTCGAGCGGGGTGTTTTACGCTCGAGCGGAAGACTGGGTTTAAGTCCCGAAATTGTGGACTTTTCAAATCCTTTTTCACTTTCTCTTCTCTCTCTTACTTTTCCAAAAACACCATTGTTGAGTCTTTCTCTCTAGATACTACCTTCTCTCTAGGTTTTGATCTAGTAGAAGTGATTTACTCACCTTTAGCCTTTACAAAAAAGTTGTTGATCGTCGAGAGCTTCATTAATCTGAAATCTCCGGGTTTTGGAGCACGTTGGGTTTGTCGTCTTCTCCTTTGGGACTCCGAATTTGAGGAGGGATATCCTACTCCTCTCTATGGGTTTTTGTCTTTAAATTTGGTATTTGAGATGTTGGTCTTGTTTGGTAATTTTGTGAAAGTTTGGGCTTTTGTGTAATTTTTACAAAAGTTGGGGTGTTATTCATAATAAACCTAGATGCATGTTTGGCATAGAAAAATGGAATGATTGTTGAATCATTGATGAAAATGGGACCTAAGGGTTGAAATGGTAATTATGGAAAATGGCCTAATTACATTGATTAATTAATTGGGATAATTAATTGGTGAGAAATGAGGAAATGAAATGTGATTGAATATCCATTTGCGCATTTATTTTCTGTTTTAGAAATAACTGCTTGGGGCTATCGGTGGAGATAGTCGTGATTGTTGTAGACAATGTATGTTGATTAGGTAAACTGAAACTAATCAATGGAATGTGTTATGGGAACTTGACAGTTGCTAGAATACATTAATTGTTTGTATTGTGTGATTGTATATAGAAACCAATGTGTTTATATACGTTATGTGTAGAGGAGGAGATAGGGGATGTACTCCGCGGTTTAGGGGAAGATAGGGGATGACCTCTAAACCGGATAGGTATTTGGAGGAGATAGGGATGTACTCCGTAAACAGAGCTCATATGCTTGTCTAGAGAAGTGAAGATAGAGCTCATATGCTTATCTTTGTGAAGTGAAAGTGTGGATACAGCTTGTATGCTTATCTGTGGATATTGTTGATATACATATCTGTTGTAGAGTGTGGATACAGCTTGTATGCTTATCTGTGGATATTGTTGATATACATATCTGTTGAGAATGTGGATATAGCTTTTATGCTTATCTGAATGTGAGATATAGTTTTATACATATCTGTGGAAATGATGATAGAGCTAGTATGCTTATCTGTTGAAAAAGGGAAAATGAAAAGTAATTGGGACTTGTAAGTCGTTGACATAAATATGTAATTATGTGATTGTATCAGTGTTGATCAACTATCAATTGCTAATGTTTTAGTCATTGTCCATGGTTGGTTTAGTGTATTTTACTGGGCTGTGGCTCACCCTATATGGGAATATCATTTTCAGGTGCAGGAAGCATGCCACCTTCAAGGACATAGCTGGGAGGTAGTGGCGGGCATAGTTTTGTCGTTTTACTTA